CCAGACACAGGTGTTGGATTGGAGTATGTGTGTGTGTCCGGGTTGCGGATGTCGCTGTCAGCAGGCCAGGCTGTCGGAGGAGGAGGGAAGCCGGCGGGGGGGCGGGGGGGGGTGCTGGCAACACCTGGAGGAATGTGGTAGAAGATGCCAGCCCTGGGCTGCCTGATTTAGTCATTGAGGGACATTTTCATACAGGGAGCCGCATCATGGGGGTGGGGCGGGGAGGATTTGCCTGTGCACATGTGTGTCCATGGCTCACACACCTGCGCCCGTGGCCTGTGGGGCACCTGTGGGACAGATCGTGTCTAGGCCAGCGGCAGGGCACGTGGGCCTCCGCATGTGTGTAAACGTGTGTCCTGTGAGGAATGCACACACGCGCACATGCACACTCAGACCCTGTCTGTGAACGCCTGTCCGGAGTGACTCTCGAGCTGTGTACGTGGGTGGCGACCTCTGGGCCATCTGCCCCTGAGCAGCAAGAAAGACGAGTAATTGTGGGGGGGGGGTCTTGGGGAGAGGTGTGCGTAACGTCAGCATGGGCCTGTGGGTGTGATGTCAGTGAGAAGCTCTGGGTGTGACGTCAGCTCCAGGCTGCCACTGACGTCACTGGGACAGCAGGGTGAGGGGTCACCCCCAGCAGCCGGAGTGTGTGATGTCAGTGGGAGGGCGTGTGGCTGAGTGTGGTTCCGTCCCCTGTGTTGTGAGCCGTGAGAGGGGGAGGAGGATGGAGCCCCTGAGTGAGTGGTCCCTCTCCAGATGCCCCAAGTGGGTGTGGGGCCCCTCTCCTGAAGGCCTCTCCTCTGCCCCCCACCTTTCAGTGGGGCACCTCTTCCCCTCCCCCGACAGTCCCTGTTCTCCACCAGCCCCAGCCAGGTCACGGAGATACGTGTTTGTGAGCGAGGCTGTGTGTGCAAATTCATGTGACAGAACAGCCGGGGGACGGGGCCCGCTGGTTCCAGACCACGTGGCCACTCTGTGCTTTGTGATTTAGGCCTTCCTGTCACCTCTCCGGGCCTCAGTGTCTCATCTGGAACCTGGGGCAGGGGTGGTTGGAAAGGTGAGGGGTGTCACGGGAGATGGTGAGCCTCCGGGTGCCAGGTGCCTGGCCCATGGTGGGGGCTCGGCCCACCACGTCCCTGGCCTCCTGTCCCCCAGCTCGGAGTCTAACTTTGTAAAGAACTTCTTTCTGCCTCCTCGGATCCTCAGAGCCGTCCTGTGGGGCGGGCCGGCCGGCTGCTATCATGTGACACTTGACAGATGAGCAAACTGAGGTCGGAAGGGTAAAGCAAGCTGTCTGTTGATTCATTCCTCAGCAAGCATTTGCCCCCATCTGCCTTCCGCAGCTCGGTGGGTGCGTGCTGGGAGACACACTGGATTGGCAGGTCCCTTCCTGCAGGGCACTTTCATTGTTTTTATGGAGGGACACGGAGCTCTGTGCAGTGGAGGTGGGGAGTCCCCAAGGCGGAGGGTCCACTGGCCACTGTAAGAGGTTGCCTTGACCCCTAGTCCTTCCACCCTACAAGCTTCAGCGATAGGCAGGGGGACAGAAATGGGTGCTTCTGGCTGCTGAGCCTTTTCTAGCACGCTCCATGTCCGCTCCCCAGTGTGGCTTCCTTGTTCCCTGAAGTCTGCGGGACGTGTGCTTTGGAAGCAGAACCGGTTCCCGTGACAGCTTGGCTGAGCGGCTGTGTGTGACACGGGGGTCAGCCCCGCTCTCCTCTGTCTGCGAGGTGGCGGCTGCTGTCTTGCAGGCTCAGTGAGCGAGTATGAAAATGTGGCATCCACGCGCAGGGCCAGGAGGTACCCATCACAGTTACCCTCCCCCATTCCAGCTACAGTGCCCCCCCCCCCCCCGGGCCCAGCTCTGTCCCCCCACAGTCGGTGGCGGTGCCCTGGGCCGTGCGGAGCAGAAAACCAGGAAGCAGGATCGCCTGGAAGCCCGAGCCTCCTTAACCGGTAGTCCAGAAGGTTAACTCAATCCTCTGCCTCTCACTGCCCCGTCCAATCCTCTATTAAATTAACCTTCTCGGGTGCCTGGGTGGCTCAGTTGGTTAAGCGACTGCCTTCGGCTCAGGTCATGATCCTGGAGTCCCTGGATCGAGTCTCGCATCGGGCTCCCTGCTCGACAGGGAGTCCGCTTCTCCTTCTGACCCTCCCGACCCTCCCCCCTCTCATGCTCTCTCTCTCTCAGTCTCTCTCTCAAATAAATAAATAAAATCTTTAAAAAAAAAAATTAACCTTCTCGTGGCTCAGTTAGCACCTGGGGCAGAGTCACTGCCATTATTACCGGAGGTCCTTATTCCTCAGGGGGTGGGGGGTGGGGTTCTGGGGGTTGGAATAATAGAGCCTCTCCCCCTCTTCTCTGCAGACAGTCCCCAGGGAGGCCCCAGAGAGGCCCTGAGGGCTAGGGAGCCACCCGGGCAAGCCCAGACTGCTTGGTGACACTAGCAGCAATAATTGCAGCGATAGTAATAATAATAATAATAATAATAATAATAATAATAATATGAGCTAATATTCACTGAGCCCAAGAGCCAGGCCCGGGGTGAAGCTCTTTGTAAGTATTTAATCCCCACAGAACCTTCTGCAGCACAGCTGTTCTTATTCCTCATTTCCCACACAAGACACAGAGAGGTTGCAGACCAGCTCAGGGCCACACAGCAGCGGAACTGGGACCGGAAGCTCCACATCAGCACCATGAATCGGTGAACTCCTCTGCCAGGGGGACCTTTGCGGGGTGTCCCTGAGTGAGGGGCCTCTCTGGGCCTTGACTTGTTCATCTGTCAGCGGGAGAAGCAGTGGGTGTGACAGTGGCCACAGGGACAGAGGGGCAAAAAGGCTCTAGGGTCTCAGGCCTGGTCCAAATTCCTTCTGTGTCCCCTGTCCCCCCAGGGTGACCTGTGACATCCCTGAAACCAGCAGCACGCTCTCTTGTTGTCCCCCAGCACTGAGCAAAGTGCCGGCACCCCGCGGGTCCTCTGGAGGGGGCGCCCCTGGGTGATAGAGGGGATGCTGCTCCCAGATCAGTATCTTCCCCAAGCTCGGAGGCTGTCACGGCCGCAGCTGCAGTCCCCCTGGGCCGCTCTACCATCCTCTCCCTCCTGTCTCGCTCGCGGAAAGATTAGGGGCCCGGGGTCCAAATTCCGTCTCTTTTTAACGGTGTGTGTCTTGGGCGAGTAAGTTCCCTTCCTGAAGGCCCTGCTTCCTCAGTATAAAGTGGGGATAACGATGCCGGGTTCCTAACGCCGGGTTCCTAACTTTTCCAGTGTGGTTACATAAGAGAATGTCAAGTGTGGAGCATTGTGTCTGGCACATAGTAGGTGCCAATTAGATGAGTTCCCTCCCCCTTCCCATCTGGCTCCTTTCTTCATTCCTGGTTCTCTGGAGTGGGTCCTGGGCTGTGTGTTTGTGTGTGTGTGTGTGTGTGTGTGTGTGTGTGTGTTTATCCCTCCCTCTCCTTTCAGCTTCTACGTTCACCCCCTGAAACACCTAGAAACTGTTTCAGGAGCCAGGCTAGGGGGCCCCGCAGAGGTGTGAGTGGGGCCTGGGAGCTGCCTGTCCCGGCAGCTGGAACGTGCAGAGGGGCTGGGAGGGGGCAGGGCATGTCTGTGTGTGCACCTCTGCGTGTACGTGACCGTGTGTATGTGTGTGATGCCGCATGGGCCTCTGCACGCTGGTCCTCGCCTCTCCCAGGGGGGAAGGTGGGGAGCAGTTCTGAAGGGCTGCCTGACCAGCCTGCTCGGGGCCCAGCCCCAAGACTCAGGCCCGATTCAGTTTCCCTCCTTGGCCTATCTTTGTCCTCTGTCTCTGAAATTCACCTGGGATGGTGGAGAGACACAAGTGATGGGGTTGGCAGCCCACCTCCCTTGCTTTCTGCGCTTCTCACTGCCAGGGTCGGGGTGGGGGGGGGTGTTCACGGTTCTGCTTGTTTAGCTGTTTCCTGTCTGTCTCTCCTTCTAGTACATCAGCTCCACACAGGTGCAGACTAGTAGGCCCTCAAAAATGAGCTGTGCAAGTTCTTCTTATCTACATGCTATTGAGGATGGACTGAGGCATTTTGCATTCAGTACACACAGACACACACACACACACACGTGCGCGCACAAGCATATCTCACCCAGGGATAACTGCTGGGCCCGGGGTTCAGGCAGGAACGCACACAGAGAGGAGTCACGTGGAACATGTGGAAGAGAGATGAGACACGTGAAACATCTGCCAAGTGCCCAGCGTGGGGCCTACACACAGTAGGGCCTGGGTGACAGGGGGGTTCTTGGTTGTCTGTGACCCGACCCCGAGGGGCTGGCCGAGCAGGCTGCAGGGCAGGTGCTGAGCCAGCCTGGGGAGCAGGGTGGGAGAGGCTGGGCCCACTTCTGCTCAGGGCAAGGCCGGATTCCCGTGACCGCACACCTGCTGTGTGCCAGGCACAGGGCTCAACACCGGCTATTATCTTGTTTAATTTTGGCTGGAGGAGGGCGAAAGAGGGCCAGCCAGTGTCTGAGCGCGGTCAGGCCGGGTGGAGAGACCGTGGGAGCCAAGGTCTGGAGGTCGGAAAGCGTGGAGTGGATTTTGGGAAGATGAGCCTGGAAGGCAGTTGGGGGATCCATTACACAGGACGGGAAACTTTGGGCTAAGAAAGGGAGCGCCAGAGTCTCTGGGTGTTTGTTAAAAAATGCAGATTCTTGGGCCTCATCGGCTGAGATTTTGATTCAGGAGGGTTGATGTGGGGCCCGGGAACCTGCATTTTTAATGCACTTCCAGACTATTAATTCACCCATGTTTGCTGGTTGGAGGGCAGCTGAGGGGTGCATCTTACGGATTTTCCCACACAGGTAGGGGGGCAGCAAAGGCATCTGCCTTTTTCAGAGAAGTCTGGGCTCAGAGAAGTGTGGCCCCTTGTCTTCGGCAAGACCAGGCCAGTACTGACTAATAATCTCCACGGTCACCCACTGCTGTTCTAAGCTTGTTCAGTGGCCCTCCTTAAACCCTCAGAACGACCCTCTGCTTCATTCCCGCTGCACAGACGAGGAAACAGAGGCAGAGTCTGCGGTCACGGGTTCAAGTTCGCAAAGCTGGTAAAAGCATGAAGTGCGTGGGGATGAAGTGAGAGTGGAGAGGGCCGGCCTGGCATCTTGGAGAGACCATGCCCTCCCTCTCCCTTCCTTTGGTGCCAGGGTGCAGGTGGAGCTGAGCCTGGAGTTGTGCATGCGAGCAGAGGCCAGGGGCCGCCAGGCGGTGGAGGTGGGAGCAGAGAAGCCCGAGGAGGGCGGAGAGCCGGGAAGGCCTCCTGGAGGCGGCAACGCAGAGTTGCGTAGCTGTGGCCCGAGGCCGGTCATCCGGAGGGCGCTCTGGCTGAGGCAGGTCCCGATCCCGCGGGCGGTGAGGTGTGTCCATCCCCGGTGCGCGTCCCGGGCGGGTCCCCAGGGCGCACCCGCGCGCAGCAATCCCCGCACTCCCACCCCAGCGGGGCACGTGCACGCCGGCGGGGTGGGCGGGAGCGCGCGCACGGA